TTTTCACGACTTTGTGGCTAAGTGCCTTACTAAGGAACCTCGTTTACGACCTACTGCATCAGAGATGTTAAAGGTATGCTGAGTAATGTTGATTCTGATATAAAATCTGAATATTACATGAAATTGGCTGCTGGTTAGATGACATAAACTATTCAGAGCTGTGCCGGCAAGTTAAAAGGAATTAGGAAAGGAGAATTAGACAGGAAAATAAGAGGAGATGACGTTCATTCCTTGTGTGAGCTTTGAATTCTAGGGAAGATGAGGTAACATGGAAGGTGGAGAGGGATTGGAGGCTTCATTGCGTCGATGACTTTTTTGTTCCCCTTGTTTTGATGAGGACAACATGTATTAAGCCCCTCCTTCGTACCCCACTTTTATCTTCAATGAGGTTTCTTGCTTCATCCAACAAAAGCCTGACAGGCATTAGAGTTTTAAATTTTCAATTTGTTGTGCTCAGTAAAGTTGTGAAATATATTTTTGGTATATATGAGGCAATGTGTTGTTGATAATGGGATTTAATGAATGAAATGAAAATGATTTCCACTCCTTTTCATGATCATACAAAGAATTAGCCTTTAATCCTTATAGTTTTACTCCCATCATCTTTATCCTCACTACATATGTCATGTCCTTATGGTGTCTTTCTCACTTTTTAACTTATGATACACGGCTGTAGAAGAGTATTAGGGAGAAGGGAAAGAAACAGAGAGAGAATAGGAGTTTGGAGATGAGAGAGAGAAAGAACAGAGTCGAGAGAGAGAAATACTCTGCTGAATATTACTCATGAATCATTCATCAACAACAACATTAGGCTATCCGAGTCCTATATATAAGAGTCAGCCTGTGCAATTAACCGTGTAATGCATTACTAACTAATCCTAAGCTAATTGCCTAAACTACCTTTGAGGCCTTATGGACTTAGTAAGCCTTTGTTTAATAAATCCCTGTGGCTCATAGACTTAGTAATACCGCTCCTAATCCCACTATTTATGATTATATATCAGCTTACCTCTCCTTTAATAAACAGTTGACAATTTTTAGTTGGCAGTATTATCAGAAGATAACTGCCTAATTATACCTAATAGTTGTTTCTTATAAATGATATGTTTTCAATTAATTCTTTGACTGAAGCTTTTCTGTCAAGTTATGCCACAAAATGAATTCTTTTCCCCTGGTGCAAGTCAAGGCAATGATTTTCTTGTGATTTCAGACTACTCATATACATGAGTTACATAGTTTTCCTTTGATAAATTCACTTACGAAATAAGTTTTCTCCTCTGGTACTTTCTTCCTCTGATGCCTGAGCAGGCATGAGCTGGCAACTGCATATAAAGGATGGCTATTTGAAGTTCCTAACTTCTAAAGAATGCCTTTATTCATTCTTAAATCAATAGGTTTATGCTGTCACGTTTGCATATTTTGTTTGATTGTTGCACTATGATTGAGTTCGAGTTTTTTCAATGTCCTAGCACAAATTCTTTGACAAATGGAAAACTGGATCAACGGCAATGATGCCAAAAATTGAAAAGGCTAGGCAAATCAGGAAATCGATGGCTTTGCAAGCACAAACTGTTGCTCCGGCTGCATTAGAAGATCAGGTATGACTAGAGTTTTGTCAGCCTCTTTCTGATACTCGTGCACAGGCACATAAACTCATTTATTACATCTTCCTTCTCTGAGGGGAAAATGCAAAAAAGAAAGGCATTTTATATGTGATTCATGCCCTTGCTCTGAAACAGTGTAACGAGCAAAAACTGAATGATGACTATGGGGACACTGTTCCATCAAGACCTCTTAACGTTGGTGTTCAAGGGGCAGGTGGTCTTTCTTCAGATGGAACTCTGAGGACGCTGAATAGGTTGGAAAGTGTGGAACCGAGTGAAGGTTTGTGTTTCTTGCTCTTAGTTGTAGCATGAACTGCAATTCTTTGAAAGTTGATTATATCCCAATGTCTCCAAGGATGCATAAGTACGACAAGAGAGGCAGAAATGGATGTGGATTTCAAGTTTTGCTGGCAAATTTCATCACGTGTTTGAATTAAGTGATATCGCCGATTGTTTAACAGGTAACTTTGGCACTGTAGTAGTCCATGGAGATGAGATTGATACAGCAGCAGTCAGGCCACAGGGAGCAGATAATGCAGATTCCTCTGCTTCCTCAATTAGTGGAACAAGAGGCAGATTGGCTGATTCTCGGTACTTTTCTCTTAATTGCTGATATTCTAGGCATCCCCCTCCCCCAAAACAAAAGAAAAAGAAGTTGAAATGGTTGATATTTTATGCATGGTAAAGAAAGACAGGCCATATTGTGAAAAGTTTGTGTATCATGTCAAGAAAGTTGCCGCTATCATTCTTAACCTTTATTAAGATATGCAGAACTTATATTTACATCTTTTACCTTGCCATTTTGTCTTTACCCCTTCCTCCCATTCTATTCATTTTTCGTTGAAGTTTCCTGAATGGTGCCTTATTACTCTGGATAATTTGTTAGAGCGGAGAGTCTAAAAGTTGCTGTCTCAAGTGATGCCTCTGTTGGGGGTTTGGGTGCTCATACTAATACCATAAAATCATCTTTATCTCCTGTTAATGACTCTGCTGAGCTGAAACACCAAATAAGAGGTGATTTTCAAGCAACAGTGGGAGTCAGCAGTGATAGAAGGAACGGTACTCTGAAGAATGAAACAGTCAGCAGAAAAGCATTTGCTTTACAGGATAAGGTAATTCTGTATTTACATATTAATGATGGAACATAACATTCTCCTCCTGCGTGTAGAAGAGTGCCATAGATTTGGGTGTTATACTTGTAACATAACGCTTATTGTTGGTATAGCTCACCATTCAAGTAAGCTTTCACAATTTTCAACCACTATTTTGTTTTTTACTTTTTATTTTTTATATATATTTTTTGCACAAGTACTTTTTATCATTACATGGCAGGACTATATAATGTAAACTAAGGCAAGTCCTGTAGTTCTATCCCAAAGAGTCTAGGACAAATCTTCCATTTAATAGAAGAATAATAAGAATGACAATGTCCCTCGGCGATGGCTTGGCAAATGTCTAGTACAACTGTGTTATCTTCCCCTATTCTTATGGGTCTCTTATATTCGTCTCTTGTTACTCCAGTCTACAGAGAGATATCCTGTTAAACTTTTTTGCCATTTGCAGCTTTGGTCAATTTATGCAGCTGGTAATACAGTGCCCATTCCGTTCTTGAGAGCAACAGATATTTCACCTATTGCTCTCCTATCGGACAATGTGCTTGGTGGCATGCAACAAGATTCCACTGGAACTGCTACAGTAGAAGCATTGCAAGAGCTTTTTAGTGGTGATGGACAGTCCAAAAGGGGACGCAGAGGACAAATTGAGGTGTGTGCGCACGCATACGTACTTGCATGTTAGCATGGTTGTGCATGCTCATGTCTGAAACAGTCATTCATATTGGTATTCTAATTAACATGCAGCAGATGCCTGTTCCTCCAAGCATTTACCAAAGACTGACATCCAGTTCTACTCTGCTGAATTTGGCCCAGGCTCTAGCGTACCACAAGATGTATGTTCTTTTCTCCAACTTGCACATAGTAATAGTCTGCCACTTGATGTGACAGAATTAATAGCCACCTATTTTGCATTGTGGGTGACGTACGTAGGCCTAACACGCTATCCCATATGGGGTCATAATCTGATTATTATCTCTTAATTCAGTGCTATGTTATTTGCTCCTATTTCTTAAAAATTTATATTATTGTTTTGATTTATTTATGTTTTATTCTTCTTGATTATATTCTTTTTGATTCTCTCCTACACTCTCAAAATTGAGCAGCTAGCCACTCTTCCATCTCCTTAGATCGGATTTGCTGATCAAGAAATTAAGGATCAAGAAATATTAAGAAAACGCAATAAATCCGTCACCTGCGTGGTCTTCATTTATTGATGCTTACATCAAGAAAGCACATATTATAGTGCCTCCGTTTTTGTATCTGTTTGTCATTTAGCTCTTTCTTGGTTAATGAGGGGCCCAAGAAATGCCAACAATGGGGGATTCTGACCCTTCATTTAATCTATGACCAATTGTAGAAGGGTACCATATTGGATTCTGTTTCTATCCGCTTTGTGATTACCCCTTTTGACATCGATATTCATTCCTTATTAGGTGTTATGAAGATATGCCGCTGCAGGACCTTCAGGCATCCCAAGAGCAGCAGACCATTCAGAACCTCTGTGATACTCTTCGTACTATTCTTCGCTTGTAGGTGGTTGTTCCCATATAAAATTTTGCTTCTTTTCTTCGTCTTTCGGCTCTGGTCTATGTAAATTTGAAGTAAACCCTAGAAAAATATGGTTTTTGGCGGGGTCCAGCAAGGTTTGACATTTATGTGTTGTAAGTAATGTGGCTCTTGCACAAGCGGGGTTCACAATGTGAGATAATGTGTCATGGCAGTTGCTTATATTTTGCTGTGCTGTGTCACATATTTGTATATTAGTGTATTAAGATTGTGTTCCTCCGTATATAAATCTCGTTTAGCGAGGAACCTCGCAAGTCACAGCAGTTGCTTCTATTTTGCTTGGATGAAAGAGCTTTTCTACCATTTGCTGACAGGTAAGTAATTTTGAGCTTCATAAATAAAGGTTTCATGTGTTTGACCCAAGTTTCAGTTAGATATCATATGATTGAGATTGACTGGCCAGGGTCAAGTTCATGCATCGTAACAAATACTTGATGAATTTAAGGTATTTACCCATAAGACATGAAAATGTTCCATTTCTGTAACTGAGATTCAGGATTCTCATTTTTGGATCAGAATAAATATAATGATCGTCGTGTGCAACTTTTTGAGTGTTTCATTAGTTTGAAGCCATCACCCTCATAACCAGAGACACCTACCTTTTCCAAGGCATTATTAAGTGCGCCTCCAACATTATCAACAGAAATTCGAATAGGAATGATTCTCTTGATCTTGTTTACAGAAATGCTCACAATATTGAGAATGATCCTTATATCTTGATGACCCCTACTTTTCACTAGAGAGGTGAATGATGAATGATGAAAACTAGCTTATTAGTTTTTTTTTTTTTGGGGCTTATTTTTGCATGTTATCTTGATTGAGTATATCCCATTTTTATTTAAAAAGAATATACAACTTCTATATTTCACTTTAAATGAGGGGCTTTTTCTTTTTAACTATTGAATGTTGAGAATTTAATTTTGATAGAGGTTGTTTAGGATCATGATTCTACATTATATTACATAAATATAAAATTAATTTTAATTGCTTACGTCTATTTGACTGTAAAGTGAAAAACAAATCAATTAGCTGCGCCTACACGTTGATAGAGTAATTAAAGGTGGTCCTTGCTTTATCGTGGAACTCTAGAATTTTGTTTAAATTGATATTAGTTCCGAAGGTGTCTTTTGGCGCAGTCTCTATTACCTCCTTTCTTGTACCAATAATCAATTTCAAATGCATTTGAACCAATAGTTTTGGCTATAGTTAATTATCCGATTCAGGTGAATTAAATATAATTGGCAGCATTGTGATGATCATCTTATCTCGCATAAAAACCCACGAAAAAATTGTTAAAATCTTTTGAAGCGTCTTCCTTTTTGTTTTTACCTGCCTGAGGATACGAGAAGAAGCATAGATAAGTACACCGTGTTAACCATTAAGGGTTTATTTGGATTGATTTATAAGTAATTTTTCAAATGTAATTTATGAAATACGAGGTAAGTATATGAAGAAAGTTTTATTTCAGCTTATGTGAATTTGTTTACAAGTCTATTTTGAATAGAGTTCCAAACAAACCCTAAATAGAATTCAAAAATAAAAAAGTATTATTTCTGATTGCAGGTATAAGAGTTTAAAAAATTGATTTATAAGTATTAAAAATTAATTAAATTAGTTATTAATACTATGAGCAGTGACATAAGAGCAGCACGGAAACAAGTGGGAGAAGTCGAGAAGTCCAAAAGAAATAAGGGAGAATTATTAAGAGGTTTCAAAAATGAAATTTAATTGCTAGAAAAACCCAATAACAAGTGATTAGTTTGAACGTATTGTTATTCTTTATTTGAAAACTTGTTATTGTTTACACTTCATTTGTTAAAAGACTTTAAGATAATTAAATATCATTCTTGAGATGAACTAGTAAGAAATTGGTTCATAACTCAGAAAGTTGTGAGTTTGAATTCCACTGTTAATATGAGAATTTTATTAGTAAGTGATATGTAAGTACTTTTATAAATGTTTTTTGAACCTAAATGCATGTTTAGTTTTGGTGAGCCATTGAGATTCAATTCATCCAAACTTTTAATTTATAAAAACTTAAAAAATTAGTTATTTATATAAAAAAAAAGTATATTAGTTCTATCAAAGGAAAAATATCCTTTTTAATCATTTATTTTGAAAATTATCCTATGAATCAAAACAAGAGCATAACTAGTTGAGGGAGTAAAATAATTCAATATTCTAATTATAATTTTTTTTTATTTTTTTCTAACAATGCCTTGAGTTGGCTGGCCCAAAAAAAAAAAACGATGTGAATGTTCGGGAAAAAAAATACTCCTCTGGTCCTAATTATAAGACCCAATTGACTTATTTGAGGAGATTAAGGAAATAAGTTAAGTTGGTTATTTATAATAAATAAGTGTTGTCATTCCTAAAATATTCTTGCTAATTAAGTATATTGGCTAAAACTATCATTATTAGAAAGATTATCTTGGAAAAAAATGCATAAATATAAGAGACAAAATGGATTGGGGTCTTATAATTAGGACCAAATAAAAAGTCAAATGGGATCTTATAATAAGGACCGGAGGAGTAGCACAGTAAAAAATCAAGGTTTGAATTTTTACAAAGGTGCGCTCAGTGTGAGTCTCCACCGTGGTTTTGAATAGGATTGTTACATGTCAGGTGTAAAAACTTGTGCGAAAATGGGAAGTACAGCTATTAGTAGAAAGGGAAGAAAAGAGCAATTGAGAGTGTTCTGTGAAGTGTTACGCCGCATTTGCATTTGCATTGGGCGGAGCAGGAGGTGAGGAACAAGGGGAAGAAAGTCGCACTATCGCCTGGGGCGAGAAAGCCATGAGAAATATTAGGATTATACAGACTCTGTTGCGAAATCGGAGATCCCTTTTGTCATTTGCTCCGTCGTTTTGGTCTCTGAAGCCAAAGGGAATCTCTCTGATCCCTCCTTCTCAGTTCCCTTCGTTCCAAAACACGCGTTTGCTTCCACAGGTCTCATTTTCCTGCACTCCTCTTCGGTTTGTCAACACCGCCGCTTCCTCTGAGGATGACGACGACGACTCCAGCTATGAAGAAGACAGATTACAACGTAACTCTCTCCCCCTTCTTTTGCTCTACCTTGCAGTTTGTTCAAGTTGCTTCTTCTTTTGCATTTGGGTATCGTGGGTGCAGTATGATTTGTGGGTGAATTGGATGAAAGTAGTTAGGGCTCTTTCCTGCATTAGTCTGGAGTATGTGGCCGGGAAATTGCTACTTACACTAATGTCTGTTGCTACTGCTTTTGCATTTATTCTGTGTCACTTCATGAGATTTGATGTCATAACTAGGTGTTTACTTTTCAAGTATATTGAAGTATCCTGCTAAACTCTCGCTATAAAAGGTTTCACATATCCATGTTCATGCATTTGGCAATTCGCAGGTGAGACAGGCGAAGACGACGAAATGTCAGATGGATGGGAGGAAGAAGATGAGGCTGAGCCTAGGGTAACATGACATTAACATAGACATTCTTGTTGGTTTCTTCAATGATAAGATGTTTATTTCAAATTTACAAGTAAATTTTTACATAACTATTAGTGTTTTTATATGAAGCCTGGTGATGGGGGAGGTGGTGGTGGAGTTGACTTGCAAGGTGTCCCTTGGGGCCAACGAGCCCTCTCTATTGCTCAGGAGGTCCTGATGAAGTTCAGTGATGACATAGAACTGTTCTCTTTCAAGACTACTCCTCGTGGATATGTCTACGTGAGATTGGACAAATTAACACATCAGTAAGTTTTCAACCTATGCCAGATAAAATATCTGGAAGTGTATTTCTGTATTTTTTTCCCTAAAGATCAGAATATGGCCTTTTCTTTGCAGAGTATGTTCAATTAAAATTGTTTTTTCAAGAAGTAACTATTTGTTTTTTGCTGGGGACAAGGATGTCACAAAATTTTCACCTTTTTTCTTGCAACAAACATAATTGTATAACCTTAAGAAAGCTTAGTTGATGACATCAGCTCCATTCAAACATCCTTTTAATATCCAATGAAGTGGAGGGTGAACCTCCTCCCAAAAACTAGATATTGAGGTGGGAGAATGATCCCACTTTAGTATCCTTTACAGCATTCCATGTTACCTTTAAAACTCCAGTAATCTGTTTCCATCAGCTTGAGATGATTGTCCGATTCTGCTATGGGCTGCATTTTTAATTCCGTCCATTGTTCTTGTAAATTCCACTTACTGTCATAGTTAGCCTCTTTATGCATGGTATTTGCGCTATGTGACCACCATATGCTAAAAATTGTTTGACTTATCATTCCCTGAGCATTTTGTATCTGTTGTGAGAAACAGTGCTATAATTTTTAGGGTCTTTCATGATAGGTTCATGGCTTGTTGGATAGCTTGGCTTCTGCCTAGAGTTGCAGGACAGCAAATTGTGTCATTCAGTGATACATGATATAATTGTGGGCTTATGATGCCTGTCTCTTTTGTTGGATGCCTAATCTGTACGGTTTGTTCAATGCAACTTGCCTTATTTCTTCAGATATGGTTGTCCAAGCATGGAAGAGCTTGAAAGCTATAGTCAAGAATACAAGAAAAGATTAGAAGAAGCTGGAGCACTTGGAGAAATACCTGATAATTTAGCTCTCGAGGTTATTCATCCAAGCTGAATTTGATTGCCTGTTCTACTGGGATTTTATTCATGGCAACTCAAAGTGAAGCATAATGTCTTTGAGGTTTTTTCCATGCCTAAGAAAGCATATTTTTCGTTCTACAGGTATCATCCCCAGGTGCTGAGAGGATACTTAAAGTTCCTGAGGATCTGAATCGGTTTAAAGACATGCCTATGAGAGTTTGCTATGCTGAAGATACCGAGTCCAGTTGCTTAGAAAAGGAAGGAGTGTTCCTGCTAGTATGTGCTGAAAAAGAGTCAGAAAATTGTGTGTGGAAGTTGGCAGATGTAAAAGAGAATAGAGACCCTTCAAGCAAAGGGAGGCCTTTGAGTCGTAAACAAAAGGATTGGAGATTAAATTTACCATTTAACATGCATAGAAGGGTAACTCTGTACCTTGAGTTCTAGTCAAATTTTACATTCTCTAGCCAGAGACGAGGAAGATAGAGCTTATATTTTCTCTCCACATTTATTTTTCCCCCCTTCGAGATGAGTATATCTGAAACCTGAAACTAGCTTCAGGGAAGAGAAAATCAGTTTTGAGTTTGCAATTGTATTAGATTTCAAGTAGACATGAAATTTCTTTAGCCTTATGTTTAGCGTTGGATGATATTTTAGTTCAAAAGGTTAATGAGATTTTGTAAATATCCTAGAAATATTCGTGCTGATCTTTGGATTTAAGTTGTAGTCTTGAGCCCTTCTCAAAGAAGTTCAAAGATAAAGCTTCTACTAATTTTGGCACTGTTTTTATGTTTAGTTTCTCCATGGCAACTTAGTTTGCATGAAGTTGCTCGTCTCTCAAAAGTCTAATTGCATATGTTATACTTTAAGGATAAAAGAGCTATAAATAAATCACAAGACCGCATCTGCCTGCAATGTTGTTTTCCCGGGTTCAAAACATGGGCAATATAAGATTATAGAGTCTCTTTAAATTCATGCTTGGCGTCTGCGTTTTAATTCAGGTTTTATTGAGAGGACATCCTTTTTATTAAAGCATGAGCTTATAACTAAAATCATAGATTGAACGACAATATATGCTCTTTCCACTGCACTATATATAATCGCTATTCAATTTTGTTTGCATCTTAATATTCTTTAATATGATATACTTGGATTCTTGGTTTGTAAATGTCTTCAAGAGTTCTGCTGAATGTCGTACATGCAGCTTTTCCCCCTTTGAATAGGTTTGAAACTTTGAATAGGCTGTTTATGGATCACTTATTTCTCTCACGCTGCAGAGGCTTACACACTTGTAGTGACCAGTCCACTTATAGGTTTTTTCTTTTTTGGTTGGAAAAAAAAAAGAAAAAAGAAAGAACAATGTTCTTGCTTATTCCTGACTATATTGTTGCTTTCTATTTTCCTTCTTGAAGGGATACATTTACCATGTCATGTTTGCATCCATGAAGGGATTTTTTTAGTTGGGTTTCTTTCCTTTGGGCATAATTGCTGTTTTGTGGCCCATCAATATGAGTTGCTATTATAGACGATAAATAATGAGATCTGAGTTGCAGGACCGCAATCTTGACATAGTGCTTGCTTTGTCAAGTTTCTTTTTCTCAATCTCATCATTTGATTCTTTTTCCCTTTCTTTTTAGAAGTAACTATGGTGATATAGAATGTTTATACAGGCAAGTCGGTTTAAGCATTGGACTTGTCTAATTCAGATATTTTAAATATAAGTGTTTCTTAACTTCAAGCAGGTGCAGCCCTGCAACTAGATGATTGTGAGGTGTATTTATTTTCTTCAACAGAAAATATACTGAAAAGGAGTGTTTGCATATTTCAAGTGTCTGAAAGAAACCTATGAAGCATACACACTCACCGAAAGACATACAATGCCACATGATAAGATTTGAAATGACCATGTGTAATTCACATGTTTATCTGTAGTATAGAGGTATGCCAATTCTGATTCTTTTTAAGTATCTGGTGCTGGAGGTCTTGGGATTGATCTCAATTTGCTCTCTCTTTGAACACCCGTGTAAAGCTGCAGATTTGTTTTTCTTTTTTCTTATAAGTCATATTCTATATGTTTTTTCTCCTTTGCATCTGCCTGAAATCATTAGCTTGCTCAGAGATTGCAGGGTCAGTTATAAACATCCATAGCTACATCAAAGCTCAAAGCCAATGATTGACATATGAGTCAACGGCGAACAGCTCCAGGGCAATATGTGGGTTTTTAGTTCAATACAAGAAGGAAAAATCTCATCCATCCATTGTGATCTATGGCTGTCATCATCCACTACGGGGTTCAAAACAACATTGTTCCATTTAACACAGCAAACGATGTGACTTGACAGTAGCCGTTAGATCAAAACGAATTGGATAACAATACCATGGACCACATGCATTCCAAATCCAGCCAAGAGGTTGGTTCAATTGAAAAATGTGCCTGATTGGATTGTGTGTATGTCACGGGTGGGTCTCACTGCCAATTATAAATTGCCAATGCACATATATAGCATGTCATAGGTGGGTCTCACTTCTTAATGCGCTTAACGTGCTTATTTATTCTCTTACAGTAAGTTCTCTGTACAGAGCATGGTTGAGAACAAGCAAATGACTGGTGATCTTTGTCCTTTTGAAAAGACATGTAAAGAAAACAAAAATGACTTGAAAGTTGAAAGCTTGATTACGTTGGCAATATGAATAAGAAGAATGATAAGTGGTCCCTCCTTGTAGGAAGATGCTTAGCTAGTCCATTCTACCGTTATCTGCATAATTCATAGAAGACAACTGACATATGACAGCATGATGTTGAGAAGCTTTCTGGTCCTATTACGAATATGTTTGTTCTCTATTGGGTTGCTTTCTTAAATTTTGTTGATATGTTTGTCATGTCCTTTTGTTTGCTTGCTTTTGATTCAGAAATGTTTCAGACACACTTCTTTTTTGGCTGAAAAATGTGAAATTCACACACAAGCTTTACTTCCACACTTTTTTCAGACGCAAACTTTCATTTTCTTTCACCATTGGTTCCATTAAGGCAGGATCAATGGAATTATATCTTCTGAATATTATTCATTTGACCAAGGTTCATAGATGAGTGTGGAAAATCAATATATCATTATGTACAAATAATACTGCTCATTTCTCAAAATTAATGCAGATTTTATGTACTTGTGCAAACATGAGGACTCATCCCTCGTATGTGTGTTAATATGTGTAGGTGTTTGATATGTATATCAATGATTTGAAGCAAAACAAACAAACAAACAAACAAAGCCAAGGTAATTAGCTGTTGTCCCAAAGTGTTTGAATTAATGATAATTGGGTCTCCCAAAAAAATTTCTGGAACAATGAGCTGCAAATGAATTTAAGCAATTTTAAATAGGTCTCCCAATTATAAATTTAGAGTTACATTTAAAATTCAAATGCCTTATTGAAATGGTATTTGTAATTCATTTTTTAAAATTTTTTATTAGCATCTAACTGTTATTAATTCTCTCTCTTAGGGACCTAATTATCATTCCCCCAATTATTTTCATATGATTTTGGTGGATTTAAGATTCCATATTTGAATTAGTTTCGAAGTATCAAATCTAGAGGGATAACAAGTTTTGTCATCTTTTGTTTTTCGTCGAGCAGTGGATCAAGTTCAAATATAGAATAAGTGGGCCACCGCCAAAGAAGTGGGTTTTGTGGACTTGTATTGTATAACTAATTGGAATTGGATTTTAACGAAAAGAATTAGTTTTTTTTATAATACAGCAAACTAAAGTTTGAATTTTACTTAAGAGAAGTGTTAACATTTAGTGTCTAATAATATTTTTTAAAAAAATCTGTGTTGTACCGGAAGAGTTCAAGAAAATGATAATTGAGGCCAAATAGTTTGTCAGGTAAATTATGAAGACGTATTTTAAATTTTACTGAAATTATATACATATGTATAGTTTTAAAATAAATGGAAATTTTCTTTGAATTTAGTTTTTTATACTGTATTTTATATAAATGATAATTACGATTTTAATTTTGTCATTATTGATATTTTTAAAATTTTTCATTCACATCCTCTAGAATGATATGCTTTTATAATATAAGAATGTTTTCAGTTTGTTAGAGTAAGTTACATCGACCTTCTTTTATTTTATTTTGTTAAAAAGATATAATTAAAATACTGAGATTTATTTCAAATGATTAGATGTTTAGTAATCAAACATTAAAGTTTATTTCAAATAATAAAAGTATTTAGTATTAAGTATTTCAAATATTTAACATAATATTTTTAAAAGTAACAAAAAGGGGGTTGAATTATAATATTCTTAATAAATGGGAGGTTTTCATAATTTCAGTAGAACTAAAAAGCGGTTATTATATTTCATTCAATTAATTGTTACCCATCCATGTAACACTTTAAACATGTTGTAACTTTTAAAAAATGGGTCTTAATTTAAGAAAACTTTCAAAATAAATTATTTCCCTGAGTTTTAGAAATGATTTTACGTTTTAAAATCTTTAATGACCACTATAATAGATAACTTCTGGATTGTGTGAAAATTAATTGAACTTTAAACCATGCTTACCAAATCCCTATGATTGTTAATATTTGATAAAAGAAAATTATTTAAAACTTCCAAATTTTTACAAATAGCCTTTATACTAATTATTTCACTAACAAATAATACTCTTCCAGTCTTTAATATAAGACTTATTTTGTTATATTTAGGACCGGAGGAGTATATACATAGTAAACTTTATTATTATTTTTTGAGTAAATAATTTTCTTAAGCTCCGAACTATGTGTAAATAATTTCTTTAAATTTTAAATTATGTACACATAAATTCTTTCTCATCTCTTGCCCATAATGGGTTGGAGATTGTGAAGGATTATATTTTGTTTTTCTAATAACAAGTATTCTCTTATTAAAGGTAATCTTATTTAAAGTACTGTTGGGTATCAAATGTGGACACCTCTCTAACAAGAATTCAAATCTTAGGTCGTCATGTGGTGAGAAACTAATCTTTTTTATTAGACCCAATATCCATTACTAAATTGAAAATCAAAGTTCTTGGCTCTTGTCGCTTTTGAGTAGATTTCAAAATGTTGCAATTTAGCTGCTAACTTATATGGTAGTACAGTTCTTATGGAGAAATAGTTGAAAGACCAAGTATTTTGCAAACCCTTCTTTCTCTAGCATTTTTGGGGGGGGGGGGGGAAGCTCTGTACCACATTGCATCTTATTAGTAAAATGATTGATAAATTAACCCCAAGAAAATATCTTTTTAAAAAAATAATGGTTAAAAATTTAGCCTACTATAAAGCATGAGTCTTTATCATAGGTTTTTCTAGTTTCATCAACAATTGACAAGAAGTTATTAGGTCACCAAATCCTATAGCTTCCAATGCTATCAGCCTATATATCACTCATTTGTAGGTCTCCCTCAGTAGTTCATTCCTCTACGTTTTTCTCATCATACCATGGGGATAACAAAAATGCCAACTTGCTTCAAATTATTTGTTGGAATGAGTACAAATCAATCATTTTTTTAATATAATTACATGATATTTAGTATTATCAAATCATATTTGAGTACTATTAAGCCTAATTAGAAGTAGCTTTATCATTATTCATTGGTAGTACAAAGTAATTAATTTATTCATGATTTTTATTGCAATTTATTTTATTTTATTATTATATTTTTTGGTATAGTTATACGATCTATGATATTAATGAGTAATTTAAATATTTTGATTTTTTTTTTTGTGCAATTCGGGGTCTTTCCAAGTTA